GGAGCCGGCAGCATCGCAGCCGTCGCGCTGCGCCAGCCCTCCTGCCCTTCTCCCCTCCCTGGGGATTAACCTCTGCCTCTTGGCGTGTGCTTGCTGGCAGCTGGGGAGCGGGGTGGGGGTCCCCCAGCCCTTGGGTGGCTCATGGAGGGAGATCCTACCTACAACGGTCCTTGCACTTAGGTGGGGCTGGGGGACTCCTTTGTAAATGTGCCCAACTCTTCCCTGAGCCTATGAAATATGTGACACTCCCCCCAGGGGGAAAAATAAGATCTCCCTGAAACCCGTGCGTCATAACCTCTGCATTCAGCTGCCAGTTCTTCTGCGATTTTATGAAATATTTAACCTGAGGGGAAAAGAAGAAAAAAAAATAAATAATCCCCCTGACAACGATGCATGGCGGTCTCCAAGATCAGACGTGGGTGGGAGCGCTGGCCATGACCCAGCATCAGCAACACCGTGACCCAGAACAGTTGGATGGTGTATTGGGTGGGGAGGTGGGACGCGTGTCCCTCCCCGTCTCCGTGTGGATGGGCAGTGCTGCTGGAAGCAGGTGTGCTCCCAGAGGTGCAGGTCACCCCGTTGGGGTGTGCATCCTCAGCTGTCACCATCCCTATTTCATGCTGGAGTTGTTTCAGAAGCTGATTCGTGCAAATACAAAGGGAACGTGCTCAAAAGTTCAAGTTTTTATCCCAAATTTGTGGGCGTGTGGATTTTTTTTCTAGCTTTGGACTAGTTTCTGTAGTTTTGGTGCAGTTGGTTTTCTTTCCACAGCAAGGTGCCAGTTTCTCGTTTAGTGCTGGCTGAATTTCTGTTGATTTCAAGAGCCCATTTCACAAGAATTATTCCTGCCTCTTAATGCCCCAATTCTCGTTACCTTTTAGCCACGTTAAGAGCTGTCCCTGCCTGATGTTATTCCCAAGAGAGCTGAGATTGTATCGGGCTGAGCAGAGTCCTGTGCTCGGCTCAGCTTGCCCTGGGAGAAGTGGAAGGTTGGGTCCCCAACAGGACTGGCAGTGGGACAAAAATCCCCAGTAGACCATGGCACCCTGAGGGGTTTTGCACCATCAGATGATGCACCTTCACTCGCCAACATCAAGCTCTTTCTCTGGAGAGCCCTACTGTGCCGTGAGGAGAGCCCAAAGGACTGAGCCATAGTGCAGTTGGTTTTCTTTCCACAGCAAGGTGCCAGTTTCTCGTTTAGTGCTGGCTGAATTTCTGTTGATTTCAAGAGCCCATTTCACAAGAATTATTCCTGCCTCTTAATGCCCCAATTCTCGTTACCTTTTAGCCACGTTAAGAGCTGTCCCTGCCTGATGTTATTCCCAAGAGAGCTGAGATTGTATCGGGCTGAGCAGAGTCCTGTGCTCGGCTCAGCTTGCCCTGGGAGAAGTGGAAGGTTGGGTCCCCAACAGGACTGGCAGTGGGACAAAAATCCCCAGTAGACCATGGCACCCTGAGGGGTTTTGCACCATCAGATGATGCACCTTCACTCGCCAACATCAAGCTCTTTCTCTGGAGAGCCCTACTGCGCCATGATGAGAGCCCAAAGGACTGAGCCGCAGGAGCTGGAAGGAGCTGAGGATGCAGAAGGTCTGATGACATGGCTGCAGGACCTCAGTGGACCAAAAACCAGGAGAAGGGGTGGATGAGCTGAGGGTGCCAAGTTTAGGCACATGAATGAAGCAGTGATTGTGTTTTGGTGCCTGGCGTGCCATCAACGTCCATGGAAATGAAGAGCCAAAGATGACAAGGAAGCAAAGCATGACAAGGGGGGGAGGTACCCCAGTTTTGGAAGCTGTTTAAAGCCAAAATCACATCCTTTTTTTTTATTAGAAAGAACTTCGTTAATCTTCTTTGTGATAGACATAGTGACGGGGGGTCTCAAGAGAGGAGATGGAAGGGTTTCCCCATGGTTCCTCCCAGCTGGCTCTGGTGAAGATGCGCAGGGCTCAGATGGCTCTTGGGAGGTTCTGGGGACCGGTGTGGGGACCTGTGTGATGCCCTCACTGCCGCTCCCTTTCCCAGTATTTCATTCCAAAGGGCCTCAAAACATGGGTTTGTTCAGCCTCACAACACCCAGTGTCTCTCTTACAGGTGCCTAAGGTGAAGGAGGAACCTGTGGCAGGAGCAAACGGGGACCTCGGGCTCCAAACACCCCACCCAGGCTCTAAACTCTCCCCGTTCTTTCCAACACCCTGCAGGAAAGATGCTGATGGATATGCTGTGAAATGCTGAGCAGCAACGCCAGCCATGGAGGGTTTCCAAAATTGTAGGTGGGGACGTGACCCTGGTGCCATGGGAGCCACCACCAGGTCACATCACTGGCGCTGTCCTGCAAAGAGTAGATGTGTCCTCCGTGGTCTGGCCAGGGTTAGACAAAGAAACGTGCTGCAGAGGAGAAGCTGCCCTGCCTGGCGCTGCAGTCACACACAGCTCTGTACATCCCCAGTGATTTTTCACATCAGTTGTCTCCCCTTAGTTTTCACATCTGTGCTGCTATGGTTACCGAGAGCCCGAAAGGCTTTAAATCTCCCTCAGAGCAATGGAGGATTTCAGGGGTAATCTTGTTAAGAGATGAGCAATGAATATTTCCAAAGGCCTTTTGCATGAATATCTTGTTCCGTATTAGCTTATGTCCACTGACAGCGGGGAGAGCAGAGGGGGGGGTGACTGCAGGGAAGGGAAGAAACCAGAGAGGGATGGATGCAGCGACTCATTTTCCAGGCACACTTGCAGCCCTTTGTGTCCAAAATGATGTGCTTAAATACTGTATTTCTCAAGGAGGGCTTGGGCTAGCCAGCTTGGGTCAGGTATTATTTAAAAATAATAATTAAAGCATGTTTTTCCCCCGGGGAAAGGTTGAGGAGACCTTTATGGGCAGTCAGAGAGGGGGACACAGACAAGCCCTGCATCCCCTGAGCCGTGCATTGGGGATGGGGGCACGGTGAGTGGAGCTGGGATGGCTCTTGGCTTTAGGGCTACAGGAGCGTCCAGGAGCCATCCCCTGTGGGGTTTGGCAATTGAGGGGGAGTGTTGGATCCTGCACCAAGGGGACACGCTGCACCCATGGGGACTGGAGCGTGTCGGGGGCAGAGCCTCTGCCAGCACTGAGCCACAGCCTGTGCCACCGGGAGAGGGGACCGTGACACCCCGAGGAGAGAGGGAGGGAAGGAGGGGGGCAGCAGGGAGGGGGAACATCCCCGAGCTGCTGGCAGGGAGCACAGGCAGCGGGAGGAAGGATGAAAGGACAACAGCAGTGATGGACAGGGGCTGGGATGGGGCACGAGCAAGCTGGGGAGGTGGGTTTGGGGCAGGTGGAGCCCCACATTCAACCATCACAAGCAGATCTACACCAAGGGACGCTTGGAGGCATGTGGCAAGAGGGTCCTTGGTCAACCTTACCCCAAAGCCAACCCCCTGCAGGGCCAACAGCCGCAGAGCGGGGAGATAGATACCCCCAGGAGGAGATGAGGGATGGTCCCCAAGGTCCCAGCCAGTGCCAGGGCACAGGCAGAGCAGTGACTCCTGATTGAAACACCAGCCAGCCCCTGCCTGAGCATGGCCCCCATGGGCTGGGCATCCTTCAGCAGTCAGGAGAGGGTGGTTTGGGACATGGCACTGGAAAATGGTGTGTACACTGCTGCTTCCCACTGTGTGCTGGTGGGGGGGGAGCTGGGGGACAGCAGCAGCAGATAAAAGGATGAGGGTAGAGGAGGGAGCTGGACCCCTGCTCCTGGAAAAAGCCATCAGCACTTAGAATGGGAGAAACTCTGGGCTCTGCACAAGTAACAAGCTCCCTTCCCACTGCTGTTCATGGGACGTGGGACATTGTGAGACCTCTTCTGCTCCTGAGCCCACACACAGCCGGGACGGAGCTCCTCTGCTGGAGGGGTGTGAGCTGAGCTCCCCCAGACAAAGCCCCTCATGTTCAGCTGAGTTTGGTCGGGTCTTTTATAAACATTCATTTTTATTTCACTTAGCAAGCCTTGTGTTTGGTGCCTTAAAATGATTGTGCGAGGGGACACCCAAAGGAACATGGGACCTTTCCCACTGGCCAAGTGCTCCCCAGCTCTGCTCCTGGACTCGGCGCTGAGATATCCTTCAGTAAGACAATTTGTGAACTTCAGGACCAGCCCGTGCTGCGTCTGGATGTGTTTTTGGTGAGCTCATATCTCAGTGCTCAGCGTGTCATGGTTCAGAGGGGACGGTAAACACGGAGGAAGCCAGGAGCAATGTTCTCCAGCTGGGCATCGCTCCAGTCCCGGACGCGGTGCCCCAGTAACCTGTGCTGCCCAGTGAGCAGATCAGCATCGTGTGGTCACGCTGGGTGAAGCTTTCCAGGCTGACAGGAGTGATGTGCCTTGCCCATAGCTCCCAGGCAG